TACATTAAATTACCTTCAATTTGATATATAAACGTTTGTATTTAAGTGAAAATTAATATATTCTACAAGCACACAAAGTTGAAAAACATGAAACTTTCAAAAAGTGTCCACACTTTTGGCCACCACTGTATTTTAGTACGCGATTTTTTTGGATAATTTGTTTTGTATGCTGATAAATAATTTTTTTCTTCTTAAAAGCGAAATGATCACAAAATTTGCTGTTTTTCATATTGCAATCTATAAATAAAATTGACTCTGTTTGATTAATTTATGAGAAGTTTATATTTGTAACATCCCTTCATTCAATGTTATACTTAAAAATGTTTTCAGAGCATTTTATTATACATTTATCTTTCTAGAACATAGACAATTTTAATATCAAAGACGGCTAAGTAGTATTTCTCTTTGAATAATTAAATATCCTCAGTTGGAACATTTATTTTAATTTTGTTTCTTGCGATTGATTTAAAGACAAAAATAATAATGGATTATTATTTGAAATGAGCCATTCTCAAAGTTATAGATTTGATACGATACAGCTTAATCGCTTTACTTTATATTGTATCGTATCGTATTTGGTGTATAGCCTTGCGTATCGTATTTGGAATTGGTCATTAATTCCACATTAATTTGTCTGCATTTTGAATATATTTTTTCACCATTTTATTGTATTTCTTTGAATTTACCTCTTTTCTTCTTCGTAAATTTGGAATGGTGAAAGGTTTTTCATGTGGTATAGAATCACATTCCTTAAGAACTAAATATTTTAGCAATAAATGTCTTTGAAACTTACAAGAATATGATAATGGAAGGTGCTAGGAAAATTGCTGCAATATCGTATGCTAATCCGGGAAATGTCATAATGGATGCATTGTAGATTTGGAAGAAAACTGAAGTTCCTAATATAGGTGCAATTGCTGTAAAAGTTCCGATTAAAGAGAAAGCTCTACCTGCAGACAAAAATTATTTTATTTGCGGAGAAGAAGAAGAAAAAAAAAATACAAAAATGATAATTACAAAATTCCTTACCGAGCTCTTCTTTGGGAACAACCTTGGATAACCTTGACCTTACAGCAATTGTGATGCTGTTACTTAACGAACCACTTATCATTGCTGAAATAAGAATATTTCATTACAAAACAATAACAAAAAAGGCTCTGATGATACAGAGCTCACCTCCCAATTGGGCTACAGTTGGCGTAGACCAGAATTCTCTACTTACGGCAGCATGCTTTCACTATAAGCGTGTGGAGAGTCATAGGAGAAGTAAGTACGTTAGTTTTTGTCTTGATTTTAAAAAAGATTAAAAACTTTCTAGTTATTAACTCTAGAAAGACGGAAAATTAGTATATACCTATATTGCCCAAAAGCAGTCAAAATGACTGGATTGTGAATGCGTAAATAAATTTGTTTAAAATTAATTTTTAACATTTTTATATTGCTTACAGTTATATAACAAGTCATTAGTAACTATTAACAATAAAAAAAAATTATATGTTGTAGAAAAAGTCACAAAATTCTAAGAAATTGTGTCATTGTATACATCATTGTCTTTCTAATTGAAATAAGAAAGCAGTCAAAATGACTTCCTTGGGCACTCTAGAGTTAAACTATACTATATGGAATAGAAAACTGCATTAAACATAGTTCTAAAAGAAAGTATCGTGAAAGTTTAAAAAAATATTTTTGACAGTTAAATATGAAAAATGTTGAGAAAGGAAAAAATATCGTAGTATGTTCCTATACAAGTGAGAAGAGGAGAAGGGTCAAGACATGGAACCGATCTTCTCCCCAGATGGCGTATTCGAGCGTTGCGATGGTTGAATGATTTGAATTCTGTCCCACCATGCATCGATCACATGACTTACGCAAAATATCCTCAGTGGTAGGCGGATCATAGGTTAGGATCCCTTTGCCCCTGGGCTAACCGTGGAAAGTTTTCCTGGTTTTCCTCTCCATGTAACGTGAATGTGGGTAAGTTCCATTAAAAAGCACTCCACGAAGGTTAGTTTGTCAGCAAAGTTTTGTAGTAGAAGGATTTTGATAACTTTGTTATTTTTCCTCACTTTAACATTAGTTTGCGATCCAAAAAATATTTTTTATTTCATTTTTTACAAAGATTATTCTGTATACGAGTATATACAGCGCGCGAAATAAAGAAAAAGCAAATTTCTCCCAATACTTGATCCAGGAGTTCCCCTGTCTTCTGGATTGGGTTCAAAATTACAAGGCTACGAAGTTGAACATCAATAGTCATAAACCCAAAAAATTGGGTCGGATGTTCAACGACGGTAATAAAATAAAATATGGGAGGTTTCGTCAAAACAATTTTTAACTTTCTTTGAAAGGAAATAAATTGCATTAATTTAGCCATTAATTTAGTGCTTATCATTAAATATTTATATTTTATGCTCTTTGTTTTTTCCCCCTCAAAGCATTATCTATTTTGTATTACATACAAAATAGATTTAAAAAAAACATACGATTAATCGAATAAACTGCTTATTTGCTGGAAGCAACTTTTAAGTGCATGCAATTTACGAAATGGTGGCTTTACTATAAAGCCAGCAGAACTCACCCGCATAAAAGAAAGGTACTGAGTAAGCAACCGAGAGTAAAGTGTACTTCGACATTATGGAAAGGATGCCTATCAGTCCAATAGCTGCTTCATGAAGGAGTAGCTTCTTACTCAGAAAAGGAATCAGTCCAATAGTTGCAATTGCCTGAATACTTGGAAATATTGTGTTTGCATTTGAATAGTCAGTCACATCCATATGATACATCCTTTTTGCATATGCAAATCCTATTCCCATTGTGCCTGTAAATAGGATTAATTTGTTTAGATTACATCATAAGCAAAGGCTAACTTAAGCAATAAACAATTCATGGAGCTACATTTTTAGAGTTGTACGAAAGAAATTATTGTGGTTGAGGATTATCGTTTGCTTAATTTTTAAGTTTGATCTAGTTCATAAAATTAAGTTGTTATAGTAACGGTTTCTTTTGCTTTTCTCGAGCTTGCTCGTTCTTTTTTTGCGGAGGAGAAATAAAATGACTTTGAGATATTTATTTATGTATTTTTGAGCATGAATATATTCATGTTCACGCCATTTCACATTTATTTCGAGTTTTACTGATCATCGTTTACTCGGTCCTCGTTAAACTGTTCTACCGTAAAGTGCTCGACTTCGCGTTCTACCAAAGCAGGGGAGTCATCCCCTCTGCAGAGGATCACAGCTATTGTTGTGTATAGAGGATCAGTTATTATTGTGTATAGAGGATTACAGTTATTGTTGTTTATCTAGCCAGTGGGTTAGACTTGGATAAAGGAGCTGGCCTCAGGGTGCTTATGGCAGGTCGTACCTCGAAATAAGGTAATTTACTTTTTCTTACTTCTCATATTAGAGAATATGCATTTTTGCGTTATTTCCTTGTTTTGATTTGAAATAAAATGCATTTTATTTGTATTATAGCTTTTTTTTATGTTTAGTTAAGTTTGTTTTCTTTTATTTGATAAAGCGTACTGCACAAATACAACTAACAAAAAAAAAATCCAGTTTTTGCAAACGGATACCTCCCAATATTTTTACCAAACTTTGAAAATGGAATATATTTGATTAGTTACTTGTATCACAAATGGTAAATCATTCTTAATTTGAAAACGGAATATATTTGATTAGTTACTTGGATTGCGGAAGGTAAATCATTCTTAATTTGAAAACGATTGATTTAGTTCGAATTAAATTCCTTGTATAATTTATAATTTTTGACGTATCTTTTTAGGATCTTACTTTTTTCTATTATGAATTTAGGATTATGAATTGAAAAACAAATATGAATTGAAGAGCTGTCTTACCCATATGTACCAGCTTAAAACTGGTATCGATCCAAATAAGAAACCAAATCTGCTTGCGGATATTACCATATCTTTTCTTAACGCAAGTTTGGTAACTTTGTTTGATGTTATCCAAAGTAAAGAGATCTTTGAAAATCGTTTTCAGCTTGCTTCGATCTATCGGGGGCTTTGTCTCCTTTAAATAGAATATGGCATACAATAAAGCTGCTAAATGAAAACATGGTGCCAAACCAATAACTGGCAGATGTGAATATGCCTTATAGATCTGGCCACCAGCCACATTTCCAAAGATGTTTGCAGTCAGTGAAAAAAACTCTAGTACTGCAAAGCGACTTGCTCTGGAGCTAAAGAAAATGTAAGAAAACATATTACTAGTAGTACAGTAATTATAAAATAACCCGAATATCAAAATAAGGTTTCTTTTCACTCAGTAAAAACCTTTTAATGTAAACCTAAAACAGTTTTTCATGCGGTTTACGTGTAAATCTTCTAATCTTAAAACGAGATCTGTGACTATCTGCTCTATTCTACGCACATTGCCCTCATCCAAAACCTTGGAAAACAACCTTCGATACAAAAATCTTAAATCGAGGTTGTCTTAGCGTGAAAAAATCCTTGAACAAAGCTAGTCTTAGGGTGAAAATAATGTTAAATCTAGATAATTATAAGGTTTCTTTTCGCAACGTCTTGTACGCTGAACGAAAGTCCACCTTGTCATGAAATTTTTATTGACAATGTAATTTGATCTCATCGCTAGTATGACGTCAGCTAAAACGGCATTATGAACCTAAGTGACCATTTTACCTAAAAGACACAATACTTTATTTAAAAAAAAGCTTTAAAAATAATTAATAATTCTTTTTGGGATGAAAGGTTTGAAACTGTAATATTTTTGTTTATAGAAAAAAGGTTTTTAGCATAAACATTTTTGTGACAATAAAAGAAAAATTCCGACCCAAGGTCGCAGTCAAGTTACATGCTTCCTGGGAAGTGTTTATTCAATAAATTAGTGCCTAATGCATTTTTATGACAAAAAGCTTTATTTATGAATGATAATTTCGAAATGAAAACTTTCATCTGTACGCTTCCCTTTTTTTGTGGAAAATGGAAATGATTTGAAAGGAAGAATTTAATTTTTTCTATACAGGCAAGTTAAGTAGTTTTCGATGAATTGTTTTTGTGCAGAAATGAACGAGACTAAACTAGAGACAATCGAGCTAATATTTTAGTAGTTATAATGGTGAAAAAATATATGTAATAAAACATAGAATGAATATATAGAATATAATGCCTAAAACTAGCCGGCAATGTATGAAACGATTTCTATTTCACACATTTCCTAGGCATTCTGTAGAATGCTAAATGAGAAACCGGCAAGTATAAAATAAATCTCCGACTCGTCAAAATGTCATTCAAAAATGTCAAATTCAAAATGTCATTCAAACCTGCCATGTTGCAACAAGTAGGTTAATTCCTTATTTTTATGTGAAATTTTTTCCCCCTTAATAAGCATAAATTATGTTTTGTACAAATTTCATTTTTCTTTACGCATTTTGATTAATTTTTTTTAATGGCTCTCTCATTATTTTTTCAGAATAACATTTTTATTTTTGAGAAATGCGCATTATTTACATAATAACCTCATCAGGACGTTTTTTTCATACTTAGCCTAAATAGTATTTGTCATTCTATAAAATGTCCAGGTATTATATACAATGCCTAGGGAAGTATGTAATATTTCTCATATTTCATACCTTGCCTTAAAACATCCGGCATTACATACATTGGTTTGGCATTCTATAGAATTCCGGCGTTTCATACTTTGCCGGTAACATATACACTGTTATTACACCTTATTACTACAAACGTGTATATAATACGCACAAAAAGTACAAGTTTGTTCCATTTACGCACTACTATCTAAACAAGTGAGTCATCGTTTCTTAACCATTTTTTTACGTTTAATTGAATAAGACTATTAACGAGTCAATAGAACAAATTGTCCAAAGTTGGGAGCATGAAAACTTCTGATGGGTGCATTTTTTACTTCACCATCTGGGGGCTATCATTTCCTGGTGCTGGAATGAAAGAGATGAACTTTGAGGTCAATAGTGTAAATAGTGTTTTCTCCATAATAGGTGTATTAGTACTTTTTTTATGCTAAAGAAACTTAACAAATATTTGCCTTTCATTCAATTAAGCGAGAAAATACATTGAAAACAATACTGCTTTACCATTTATCTCATCGATTCCTGTTTCGTTTTATTCAATTCAACATGGAAGAATGCATTGGATATATTGTCTCATTTCCTTAGATAGCAATATCAGATGCTCAAATAGATATACAAATACCTAATTTTACTTTTTTTAATTAAACTCTAATAACTTTTAAATTGGGTCGGCTGTTCAACGACGGTTATAAAATAAAAGGTAATGAATTCTTACTGAGGATTGGTGATATCTGACAAATAACTTGCAGCTGAGGACATTGCAACGAGGAAACCTCCCGTGATTCCTGAGAAAAGGGACACGAACATGAAATACATGGGTGGAACATGAGTGTTAATGGCAAGAAATGTAGTCGAAAGACTTTCCGCCAACATTCCAACTGAAGCTATGATGAGGGGCCACCTTCTAGTGTACTTGTCACTCCACGGACCAATGAAAATGATCACGACCACAGCGGGAAGGCTAGTCAGCAGCAGGACACCAGTATAGAGATTATTGCCCACCTCCATGCTCTTTGCTTGTTCCACCTTATGGAGTTTTATGTTGTCGCAGATCTCGTCTGGGTAACTAAACGTGTTCCGGCATGCTCTGTCCATCAGGAGATCTTGGAAGGATACTAAACGCACCACATACCCGAAGAAGCTGAGAAAGAGGAAGGGCTCCACTGTGAGCGACTTCAGCGCTTCGCCAACCTTCGCCAGAACCATTTTGTTTTACGCCTTTTTCTTTCTTTCAATATTCCTAAAAATAGATACAATTTATTATATTTTTCCTAAGCACATTAGACTCTTATATTGTAATAGAATGTAAGTAGAATCCTATGTTGTAATAGAATGTAAGTAGAATCTTATATTGTAATAAAATGTAAGTAGAATCTTATATTGTAATAGAATGTAAGTAGAATATTATATTGTAATAGAATGTAAGTAAATGGAATGCGCGTCTACATGGTTGCGCGATTTTCCCACTCTCCATACTTTCCCTTGTCCGTTTCCATGGTTTTTTCGGATATTTATTTCCCCCCCCCCACTCCATTTTTTTCAACTACCGGGGAGAGGCCGGGATAGCCTGGTCGGTAGGGCACTGGGCCCATATCCAAAAGGTCGTGGGTTCGATCCTCGCCGGCCGAAGACTCCCCGTGTAGTAAATGGTGACTGATGCACGTTAAATCTGTCGAGTCTCAAAGTCCTCCATGTTCCCACAACAAATCAATACCTCTGGGGGTACTGATCCAGGAGTTTCCTTGTCTTCTGGATTGGTTCAAAATTACAAGGCTACGGAGTTGAACGTAAGTAGTCGTAAACCCATGAAATTGGGTCGGCTGTTCAACGACGGTTATAAAATAAAATAAAAAAGAACTACCGGGGAGACATCCGTCTTGCACCTACCACAGTGCTGACTTAAAATATCCTAAGTGGTAGACGGATCATGAGTTAGGGTGCCCTGGCCGTCAGGCTAACCGTGAGAGGTTCTCGTGGTCTTCCTCTCCATGTAACGCAAATGCGGGTTAGTTTCATCAAAAAGTCCGTCACAAAGGCAAATTTCTGGCCAATACTTGATCCAGAAGTTCCCTTGTCTTCTGGATTGGGCTCAAAATTACATGACTACGTAGATAAACATTGTTTTGCCTCTAAAGCTGAAATTTTTTTTTAAATGACATGACATTCGAAATGCAAAAGTTTAAAAACGTAATAAATATTACAGGGGTTTGCGCAAATGTTTCGTCAAACTTCTAGGAGAGATAAAAAAAAAACAAATAAAAAAAACATCATTATCAGGATTAAAACTTCATAGGAATCCACGCCCTCAAATGTCATAGTACGAGGTAAGGAGATTACAACATGTTCAGAAGCACACAAAGAAATTGTTCAAAACGTTCAGGGAACGCCCCAAGCCGAGTATGACGACATTTCCTGGCATGAATTTTTATGCATTTTTAATCCTGATGATGTGCCCTAACTGCCATAGAAGTTTGTCGCACCGTTTATGCGACCCTCTGTTACCGTGATTGACCAAAGTCAAGAGAATGTGGACTTTCACCGGTGAATGTCAACACTCACATTGTCGCTTTGGTGAATGCCCGAAATATTTGTTAGATCCGATTTGATATTAATTTATTCGTTGATGTTATTATATTCTATATTTTAATATCTGTCGAGGATAGATTAGGAGAAACATCAGTGTTCGGAGTATCGGGCAAATGTTTACCGGGCAGTGGCAATGAACCTTAAAAAACATCAGCGTAGGGTATACCGGGCAAATGTATACGGGGCAGTGGCACTTAACTAGACCTATATTTCACGCATTTAGTAAAGCGACTCCGTGATTGTCAACATACACCGGCGGAAGTCAACAACCACCTATTTTGGTCATTCACAGTAACGTATATAACGTTTGAACTTAAATATTTTAACAAGAAATAAACTAAAAAGCGATGTGTCAAACTAATTTTGAATTTATCCAGTGTTTCAAGATCAATAGTCAGGAGCTAGTTATTTTTTATAAAAATCATAAGTGCCGTTAATATGTTTGTTTTTCATAAACAACAATGGTTGTTCTAGAATAAAAAAAAAATCTGATGGGGTTTTAAAAAAATATTTTTTGAATTTTTTTTATCTATCATATCTTACCGATTCATTATCTGGGGATTTAATACTAAGGCTGTTGTTCTCAACTATTCATTGTGTGACTCAATATTTTCCTCGAATTCTAAAAATTGAAGAATTTTTAATCACGATTTTTCATTTTAATTAGTTCTATCTAATTGGAATATAATAATTAAGGCCCGGATTTTGATGACATTTGCATTTTTGGACATTTTTTGTCTTTTAGAGCATTTTTTTTAGTCTTTTAGAGCATTTTTTTTGTCTTTTATGGCATTTTTCTTTAAATTTTTGAGCGTATTTTGCATTTTAATGCATTTTTTTAAAGTTTTTTGTTAATTTTTCCAATTTTTATTATTTTTTATAAATTTTCATTATTACACTGGCTTCCAAACAATGAAGAAAATCTATAGGATATTAACAGGTGAAGCAAAATCTTTTCAAATTGAAGAAGAATTGTCAGTAAGTGAGACCGTCTTTTTCAAGTACGCACCTATAACATCAGTAGACGTTGAAAGAAGCTTCTGCAGGAATGAAAATTTACTTTCAGACAAGAGACGCTCGTTTACATTTCAAATTATCAAAAAACATTTAATAATCCAATGTAATTCTGATATTTAGTAATATTATGAGATGGAAGTTGTTATATCCATTAAAGTTTCTATACAAAATAAAAATATTTTGGTGTCAATATATTTTCCTTTTTTTGTTATTTTAGGATATAAAACATATTTTTCAAACTTTAATGAACGTAGAACAAGTATTGCATTGTTTTATATTTTTTAAATGACTCATAATAATTTTAAAGAGCAAAACATTTTTTAATTCAATATTTTTACTTTATTTAAGGCATTTTTTGCGCAATTTTTGCATTTTTAAGGGCATTTTTTGCCCTTTTTAAGGGCATTTTTTGCACTTTTTAAGGGCATTAGTTGAAATTTTTTAGGTCATCTTTATTTTCATTTTTTTCTCTTGTAGTGTTTTAATATTTTTGCTTTGATATTGAATACATTAAGACGCATTACAAAAGAATTAAATAACTGAAAATACAGATAGAATATATGAAAACTCAATTTAATACAGAATGTTTTTTTAAAAAAAATCCCATTAATTAAATAAAAAAACTTACCCAAAACATTAAATGCTTTTTAAATTTTGTACGCTAGTTAGAAAACTGTTAGCTAAAAACTTTATAATAGTATTAAATATGATTTGAATTTTCAAAACAAACCTTGATTAAACTCACTTCGTAATCAGATAACAGTATTTGTTTCATTTATCAAAATCATTTAGATATGTTTTTTTCTAGTTTAATGCGCTTTAAAATTATTATCGTTGGTGATGTTTTATAACAATACCACGCGAAATATTACTTCCTCCTAGGAAATACCCGGATTTGAATTTTATTTTTTTATTTATTGCTCAATTAACTATTAGAGGAGATCAAAAAGATTGTATAGATTAAAATTTGGAAAAATCACTAAAATTTCTGAAATGGAATATCTGATTCACTATTTGATCTCAGTGAAGTTCGATCAGTATCGTAAAAAAAAAAAAATTGCATTTTGGAATTCCGATTTTTTCCCCCATTTATAATTTGACACTAGAAAATATTAGAATTCGATTAAATATTTGATTTCTGAGTTTATTTTAATCACTCTAAGGAGATCAATAAAATTACATTCGAGAAAGATTGTATTACATTTATTAAAATTTGGAAAAATCATTTAAATTCGAAACTGGAAATTCTGATTCACTATTTGATCTTAGTGAAGTTCAATCCGTAACATAGATAAAAAAAAATCAGTTATATTTTCGGAATTTTTTTTTTCATGCATAATTTTATACTAGAAATATTAGAATTCGATTAAATATTGTCTTTTTTTTTCTTTCAATTTTGCTTGTAGATAACAGTGATACCCTCTTCAAATCTTATATGCAAGTATAGTTATACAATTAAAAGCCAACGATACAATTAAAAGCCAACTATATCATTTGAAATATTTTTAATGACTAATGATGTGCAGTGTACAGGGGAAAAAAACAATTCACCCTGAATAACTTTTGATCTAATGATCACATTTTAACGTACTAGGTCTCAATGATTCGAGAGAGATGATCTCAAATAGGCTAATTAATTATAGCAGGCAATATTTTAAGTTACGAAATCACACACAAACGATTTTTTTCAAAATGAACATGCTTTTATTTTCTTTTTTTGTTGTTGATGGATTTGGATTTTTGGCCCTCAAAATATATGGGGTAGTTGCAATCTGCAAAATATAGTCCCATTAGTGTTTGGTAAGCTTATTTAAAAATCGATTTCGTTCCGAAATTGTATTTTCCTTCATAAAATTACATCGTTAAAATGATGTAACATTTTGTACACTTCACAATTCAAAAATTTTCCGACTATTTTTAAATAAAGTAATAAATAATTATTAAACAAATTTTTGTATGAAATTATCTACTCCCTATCGTCTGCGCTATTTTTTTACCATATTTTGACCCCCTTGAACCATTAAGATTGAGTTTTAGAACGTGCAAATCCAAAAAATTATTCAAGGAATATAGAATTTTTTTTTCTTCCTTTTTTTTTAATTTTTTTTTTCAATTTTATTGTACCTTATTGGTCACAGTAACGTGACTACGTACGAACTTTTTTTTAAAAAAGTATATGAAGCTGATTTTAAAAATAAAAAAAATTCAGATTCTTACATATTGAAATAAAATATTCAACAAAAGAAGGAAAAAAAAAGCATTAATTCGAATATGCATTTTAAATTTAGTTTTTTGTTTAAAAAAGCTTTCAATTGCTCTCAATTTTTTAATGAAAGTAAATAAAGCAATAAACGAATTTTTTTTAGATAGTTAGAAGTCATTAGTAGTTAATCGGGCGATTCTTGTAAATTTCAGATAATAAAAACGAAACGACTTATATAATCTATTTTTAAACAATGAAATGACAAAAAAAATGAAAAGTACTATCATTTATTTTTCTGGAACCTTTGTTCCTCTCTTAATTGGGTCATGCCACGCGTTTTCTAGGATATCAAAAGAACAGGATATATAGATATCTAGAAAATATCTTTACAGTCCCTGGCGAAATTAATAGACGCACTATAATATTTTATATAAAATCTTAATTTTCAGGTGATACTATACAGCTCTATTGTTTATACGCGACTGAAACCGGTTTGCTCTTGTTTACACTAGTGTGTATGAATTGGTTAAATTAAACCATAATTAATATAAATTCGACAATTGCATTTACATGTTTTGCACGAGTTTATAGGCAATATTTTTATATTTAACAAACATGTAATGGGTTTTTATTCAGGAGATTTTTTATATACTTCCTATTGGTATTTATTAACGTAATGCATTACAATGATAACTATACAATGTTTTATACCTTAATACCATTTTGATATCTAGAAAATATATTTAAATCATACCTCTATTTTGCTAATAGACTTTATGTTAAAAATAATAGTTGAATCAAAATCTCTGTAAAACGTTTTATTATATATTCTTGACATTCAGCAAAAATAAGTAATTACGATAATTAATTGTCGCAGATGTTAAAGTGAGCGTTATAAGCACTTATTCATTGTGTGTAAAGTGAGCGTTATAAGCTTCATTTCATGTTAAAACATGAAATGAAGACTGGAGTTTAATGAAGCGCTTTTGATAACACTCTATTTCAATAGTTAAGCTTTGGTGGCTCAGGGGATAGAGCGTTTGCCTTCCAATGAGGTCAACCGGATTCGAATACCAGCGATGGCTGATTAATTCGAATACCGCATCCGGCTTGCAGCGACCACAGTGCGGACATAAATAAAATAAATTTTTTAAAAATATTTCTCATTTTTGTAAATTTTTTCCTGGCAGTAAAACTCGATATAAGATCAGATATATGAGCCGCTCAGAAGCCAATGCGGTTAAGTCCATTTTTTGATATTTTCTGATTTTTGGAAATTTTGATGAAATAAATAATAATCTTCTTAGTTATTAAAGGATTTACTCGTTGGTTACTTTTTTCTAGGTTAGACAGCCCTTTTTTTAATAGCTTCTGAATATATTGTATAATAATTTCAGAAGCCATTGTGAATAAGTCCACCTTTTATCAATATTTTTTTACATAAGCTTTGAAATTAAAATTAAATTCTTCTTTCGATATTTGTTGGTAACACTGAAAAACAAGAAATTCATAGTAATCAGGGTTGCCAGACGTAGTATTTTTAATACTACGGTAGTATTTTTTCACCAAAAAAAGGGGTATGGTATTTTTCGTAGTATTTTTTTAAAATGTGGTATTTTTAGTTTTTTTTTTTTTATTTATTTTATTTTCATTTCCTAAAACAAAGAAAAGTGCCACTCTAGTTTTGAAGTAAAAAACAATTTTTGAAATAATCCAACAGTTTATTTTCTATTAGTCACTGTATCTAGTGATGATTGAGAAAAATAAAAGTTCGTTTATACTAGTAGACATAAATTTCTTATCTTTTTCAGCTGCCAAAAGGTATAAGTCCTAAAATTTTTAAGATGCTGTCATTATTTCAATAAATACTTACGTTTTTATTTACACATCCTGTACATATCTTGTTTTTTTGCAGAGTTTACACCTCGAAAAAAGAGTTTATACACTTTTCTAATTAAATTAATAAACCAGGAATTTTAAAAACTAATGTATCAAAAAACATTAATTTTCTCAATTGTTGTGTTTTGGACTTAACCGCAATGGCTTCTGAGCGACTCATATATGCATAGCATATTACTATTTAGTAAAAAGAGAGTAAAGTTTATATAAATCTACTCAATTGAGTCTTTGCACTTGAAGAAGAAGAAAACCTCCCATACCCTCACATGTGACCTATGACGTCAGCGCCAGCTAATCTTTATCACCAAAATGGTGTATTAAAGTTGAGCTAAGTTTCTCTACAAAAGTTAGAATGATAATTAACGATAAATGAATTAAATACAGAGCCGTATCGCTCGAATTAGTTAAAATATAGTTCTTTCTCGTCTGCTTCTTTTACTTAACTTAGATTTATTATTTTTTTATTGTAACCGTGATATATTTTTGTTTTGTGTACCTTCGATGCATAATTAGTTTGTTTATATTCCACCAGGTTTCGTGCCTGTTTTTGTGTTCAGTTTCCGTGTAAATATATAGTGAAAGAATTGAAATCTTTGAAAAATAATCTTTTAAGAAGAATTTAGAATGTGTTACTTAAGAGAATTAATACTTGACAAACTTGGCTTACTCGAAATAGAATGGAAGAACAGTTGAACATAAACAAACTTGTGGTTACGTATAACTTTAAAAAGACTAATTCAGAGACGTATAGACTGAGCTAGCAGAAATTATTTAATAATCTGTTTTTATATTTGTTATTAGATAGAATTATACAGCTAAAATAGCATAATTATTCACATTAAGTTTTACTTATTTTCATTATACTAAATGAATTCTTTAAGGTGGGATTTTTTAAAAGTCTGATTTCAGTAACAATAAATTAAATATTAAATTATTTTCATTTTTTTTTTCAAATTGACCTTTTCGAAAATTATGATAGAGGGCGAAAGATAGACCTAACTTGACCTTTTGCAAACTCACGGCAGTTTATGAAAATAGCATAGCATTCGCAGGTGACGACAAAGCCTTCGGAAAACAGAATGAGATACCTGCACGTAGTGTGGGTACCTCGATCCTGATTGTTTGTTGAAACTTGGCATTTGCTTACGCTAGCAACTGTTCTTTTCATTCTATTCCGAGTAAACCAAGCCCGTCAAGTATTAATTCACTTGAGTGACGCATTCTATATTCTTTCGCAATGATTCTTTCTCAAATATTTCACTTCTTTCACTATATATTTCTTACTTATCTCAAATACAGGTAAGAAGCCATTTAGAACATAAACAAACTATACATCGAAGTTGCCAGGAATACAAATCAAAAATATATCACGATTACAGAAATACATAAAAAAAATAATAAATCTAAGTTAACAAAACACGTAGACGAGAAATAATTATATTTCTGCAATTTCGATGCGCGCTACGGCAATGTATTTAAAGAACTTCACGTTAATTAACAATATAACTTATGTGGAGAAACTTAGTTGTACGTCATAGGTCACATGTGGCCAAATAACCAATTGACTGGCGTCTTTCAAATAGCATATATTTTAAGAAACTAACATGTTGCTACAGAGTATTTGCTTCTCAGAAACATTTCATGCTATATTGATTTAAATGATTTTATTCCGTACACTGAATACAATAATGCAATGTAGCGAAGTAGGTTCACTTTTAACATCCGAATCTGTGCTACTAATTCCAACATTTTTACTAATATGATGGCAACACTTAAAAAGCAGTTAGAGTGTTTTCTACTTTTTCTTCTCTTGCAAATTCTCCGACAGATATCGTTGGCAACTTCATCATCCACCTATTGCGAAACGAAATGTGCATTTAGTCATATTCATTGTAATTTTATACATTTAAATAACACCCAGATAGCAAAATAATGCTTATTTTCACTCAGCAAAAACCTTTTTACTGTAAACCTAAAAAGGTTTTTTTATGCTGTTTGCATTTAAACCTACTTCTAACCTTTAAACGAGATCTGTGGCAATCTGCTCTATTCTACGCACATTACCCTGATCCAAAACCTTGGAAAACAGCCTTCGATATAAAAACCTTAAATTGAGATGTTCTTTCATTCTCTGTACTATCTGTCCTTACTGTGGGTTGGCCCTCATAATTTGATGCTCCTGAAAGAGTGGCCAACAAATCTGTCCTGTAAATGCCCGAATTGACGAAATGTTTACACAGGTGGGCATTGGAAATAAAATTAAAAAAAAACATTTGTAATGTCCGTTTGTGTATTACGTAAGCATCAAAGAGAAGAGAAGTTCTGTTATTTTTTCTAATCTGACGAGAGAAAGGGTTTGAGTAGTGCTTACGTACGATATTGAATTTACGTTCTTTTACCCATTCGCAAAAGGGGTGTTGTCTTGGGTATGATGGCGTGCGTACCTGATTTGGACGTCATCACACTTTTCAAGAGTAATAGTAAACCTGCGATCGCATTTCGGCGATCACAATTTATTTTTTATTTATTTTATTTTTGAATTTAATTTTCCATAAATTCTTTTCATTTATTTAATTTTTTTCTTCAAATTGTAACGAAAAATAAGGGAAAACGTTACACTTGAAAATATTAAATATTTAAAATTGTTGGGAAAAGATTTTTCATAACAGTTTAAGAGATTAAGAATTTCAGCCGAAGAAGTATATTCCACTCAAAATATTTTTAAATGAATTGAAACTGACAAAAAGCTTTAAATATTTAAAAATGCATTTATTAAGCGTTTTAAAAACGCTCCAGCTCTGTGAGATTTGGGATCAATGAATAATTTTCATGAGTTCAACTAATGCAGCGTTGGAATAAATTCTCGGTCATTAAAAAAATTTGATCACAAGCAGTTTTAATTTTCGCAAAACTGCGACTCTTGCTTCAGATTTACTTTCTGATCCATTTTTACTATCATAGATGGCGCTGGTTGAAAAAGGACAAAGCAACAAACAATAGGTAAATAAATAGCATTCCCCCCCCAAAAAAATCATTATATCATATGATGGAGCCGCGGTAGATCAGAGAATAGAGTGCTTGCCTCCCAATGGTAGATACGGCTCATACCGACCACAGTGCTAATGAAAAATATCTTATGTTGTCCTCAGTTATCGCCTTCCAATGAGATGAATCGAGTTCGAATCCCAGAGATGGCTGATCGATGCGAATTCCGCATCCGGCTTGCACCGACCACCATGGGAGGTTTCCGTTGTTTTCCTCTCCACGTAACGCAAATGCGGGTTAGTTCCATCAAACAGTGGGCAAATTTCTCCCAATTCTTGATCCAGGAGTTCTATTGTCTTCTGGAGTGGGTTCAAAATTACAAGGTTAAGGAGTTGAATAATGGTAACACCGTAAACTCTCGACTGTTCAACGACGTTTATAACTTAATAAGAAGCAGTAAGATAATCACTTACCCGAAAACAATGGCACTGGGACATAGAAAAATAGAAGCTAAAACAAACACTAATCCAGGAAATGAATTTAGAGAAGCGTTGTAAATCTGAAGGAACACTGCCGTTCCAAGCATCGGTGCCAGAGTAGAAAACATCCAGAGTAATGAAAAAGCTTTTCCTAAATAACAAAAGAATTTGATTATTCACTTTTACAATAAAAGCTTGAAGTAAAGTTTTGAATTTAAAATGCGTTTACCTAGTTCTTCTTTATTGACTAGTTTTGATAATCTTGAAGATACGGCTATCGTTGAACAATTGAATAAAGAACCACTCACCATTGCTGCAAAAAACAACGAAATGAACTGAGTTGAAAATATTTTGTTTGAAGGCAATTTATTTTCTCGAGACACTCTAAATATTAAGATATTTAAAGTAATTTGTTTGGATCTCTTATAATAATCTTGTCCCGCAGTGGACTGGTTGTGGAGACACGGTTTCCAGTAGAACACAGAACTCAAGCATCACTAGCCGCGGTCAGTAAGCGCGTAGGTGACTACATTGAACAGGCTGCGTTGGAGAGTCGTAGAAGAAGGTGAGGAGAGTGTTAGCGTGTGGAGAGTCGTAGAAGAAGAAGTATATTAATTTCTGTCTTGATTTTAAAATAAATTAAAATCGTTTTTAAGTTAGGAAACTGTATGGAACTGAAAACTACATTAAATATGGTTCTAAAAGAAAGCATCATGGAAATTTAAAAAAATATTTTTAACAATTAACACTAGATTGCCTAAGGACGTCATTTTGACTGCTTTTAATTTCAATTAGAAAAACAATGATATATATAATACGCAACTTCTTAGAATTTTGTACAACATATATTTCTTTTATTGTTAATATTTACTAATAACTTGTTATATAACTGTAAATAATATTAAAAATTAATTTTAAACAGATTTCTTTGCACATTATTTATTCTTTTACAATGCAGTCATTTTGACTGCTTTTGGGCAATATAGATATATACTAAGTTTCAGTCTTTCTAGTGTTAAATACGAAAAATATTAAGAAAAGGAAAAATATTGTAGTACACTCCTATATAACTGAAAAGGGGTGGGGAAGGAACCAGTCTTCTTCCCAGATGGCGTATTGGAGCGTTGCGATTGCCTATGAACAAAACCAGGTTTTGAAGCCTTTTTTCTTTCTCTATCATACACAAAGCGGAGCTTGTTATGTAATAGAAATCTCTTTCCTTGCTTTGGAGACTTACCAGGAAACATTCCAACATAAACAAGCACCGCTCCGTCTGAGTTCTGTATATGTAAAGGAATTGGTGTTTGGTCCAAGGATTGAGAGACAAGTTCACGACATCGCTAAATGCTGGGTTTAGAAGAGACAATGATTGGTGGAGATCTTTACGAGCTTTCCGGAATGATGAACATTCCAAGGAGACGTGATCCTCCTTTGAGCAGAACAGGTTGAATCTTTTTTCTTTCTTTCTAGATCATATTTCTTGTGAGGAAAACATAAACATGCAAACAGTTATAGTCTGTCTAGGGTAAGAACTCCCCCCCACACACACACTGAGTCTGAGACCGTTTGCTGCTATCGAAACAAAACTAAGTCATTTCAGGAAGGGTAGCGTCTCTTGACTATAGGGCTAACACAATAGACGGAAGAAAAATATTCTCTTTCTCTAGCCGACCCGAGCAAAGCTGTCCTAAACAGTGATCATACACCCCTACTTGAAATAGTTATACCTCATTACCATAGTCACCGCCATTACTCCAGACGAATGGGTAGGGAAATTCTTATTCAAGACAAACTATAAACGTTCGCGTTTCAGCAACATTTCTTGCAATGATTAGTTGTCATGCGAGATAAAAACCCGTGGCTTTAAATACCCCACTTTATAATTTCAACTATAAAACGTGTGGAGAAACTACAAAAAAAAAAGATACCTAAATAGAAGAATGTAGGTGAATCTGATACAGATGTGAGCACCATTCTAGACATGAATGAGAGAATTCCTATGAGTCCGAGGGCTGCTTCGTGGAGTCGAAGTTTTTCAATGAGGATAGGGACTACTAGAATAGTTCCAAGAGCATTACAAACAGAGAATATTATGTTTGCATTCGATGAATCTTCCACTCCCATTTTAAACACGTGTTTCAGAAAGGCAAACTGTATACCCATGTTGCCTGCAAAATAGAAAAAAATATTTTTTATGTGATAAACATAATGTTGTGTGACATAGTTCTTTGCAGCCATCAATTATGTTTAGCTTATCTAATTAATTTTACATATTTTATGTCAAAGTAAAAATTATTTTTAGAACTTTTGCTTTCCAATGAGGTGAACCGGATTCGAATCCCAGCGATGACTGATCGATACGAATCCGCATCCGACTTGCACTGACGACAGTGCTTACTTGAAATAATCTCGGTGGTAGACGGATGGTCGGTTAGAGTCCCTTTGTTGCCAGGCTAACCGTGGGAGGTTCTCTGGGTCTTCCTCTTCCAAACGCAAATGCGAGTTAGTTCTATCAAAAATTCCTCCACGAAGGCAAATTTCTCCCAATACTTATTACAGGAGTTCCCTTGTCTTCTGGATTGGGTTCAAAATTAGAAGGCTACGAGGTTGAACATTAGTAGTCGAAAACCCGAAAATTGGGTCGACTGTTCAACAACGGTTATAAAAAATTTTACAAAAAAATTAAGAGAGTTAAAATGCCTTCTTGGATTTATAATTCAATACAATATCAGGTAATTTCCAAAAGAACTCTATTTTTGTTATGGAGTTGCAACACACAGGATTGCTTGAGAGCTAAAATTTATCGAATTTTTAAAAATCGGTTATTTTGGCTCTCAAGTGATGGGAGAATGTTACCTGTATCTACATAGTATTAAAATGATATCTTTTGATTTATAATTCAATACAATACCTGTATGTAGAGTATCAAAATGGTATCTTTTGATTCATAATTTAATACAATACAAGGTAGTTTCCTCAAGAATTCTAACTTTGCTATTTGTGACAAACAAGCACCGTTCTCCGATTGCTTGAAAGCTAAAGTTTGTCGAAATTTACATATCGGTATTTTTATTGACCCCCAAGAGTTCTACAGAAGAACTAACCTTATGTTTCACAGCAAAAAGAACTGTCCTTGATGTTTGATTACAGGAAGAATTATAGATCGTTCACCAGGTGTTGGCACTTGGCTCCGCCTTCATCACGTGGTATCCGTTGATACTATTTCACTATTTTTGGGGAAAGGATGTGATCAATCCTGAACAAGGTTGCTATTTGGCGATCATTTGATAAAAATATTTATTTCGCAATCTTTACGTGCATTTTTTAATTTTAAATATTTCATAAATTTGATGATATTTCTTCCTTTTGAGTGAATAGTTTGTCCTTTCTGAGACATTTTGCTGGGAAAACAGCAGTTTTTAAATTCAAAATATATTTAATTACCTAGAGTAACGAAAGGTATAATAGCAGATGATAAAGCGAAGTAAGTGACTGAAAAAGAATTCACTGTTTGCGTTTGGCGCTCTTTAAGGGTTGTCTCAATTTCATGAGCGGAGACGTTTCTCCTCTTACTCCCGCGCTGAAAATAACTCTTCGTCCGAGGAGGTGGAGCCAAGTGCCAACTCTTGATGAACGAACTATATCTCTGGCAGCACCACTTTTGGTCTAAAGTTGGTGTTAAGATACAAACTTTCTAATTTAAATACTGAACTTACTGCCCTAAAGTTAATTCTGTTTTGTTCAAAAATATAAGGTACAAACCTAACTCGACAAATTTAGAGCAGGTATCCACAAATATTAGCAGCCATATTTGAAGCCTTAAATTGCCGCTTCTCTTTCTGACACATGTACGATAGCTCTCCTTGATGTTTTCAAACGTAAAGAAATCGAACAAAATGCCAAGTCTGTTTTTTTCATGAGGGGTAATTGTTTCCTTCAGAGCTAAGACAGCGTAAATGAGAGCACACACGTAGAAGCAAGGAGAAATACTTAATACAGCCACGTATCCATACGATGCAAAAAGTTGACCACCAATCACGTTGCCCAAAACAGTAGCTGCTATCAGACAACAACTCATAATGGCGTAACGAGTTGGCCGCGACCTGAAATACAAAACATTTCATTTTATTTTATTTTATAATCGTCGTTGAACTGCTGACCCAGTTCCCCCACTACCAATGTTCAACTACAGTCTTTGGCCAATTTATTAGACGCACTATAAGATTCTATGTAAATTCTTAATTATCAGATAATACACTATACAGCTTTATTGTTTTTACGCTGTTGAAATCGGTTTGCAGTTGCTTATGATAGTGCATCAATGGGCTTACATTGTAATGCAATACGTTAAAAATAAATACAAATAGGAAGTATTTAAAAAATCTCATGAATAAAAATAAATTACATGTATGTTCAAACATAAAAGTATAAACTCGTACAAAACATGTCAACACCTGCTTATCCCGACTGGCCAGTGGGCACCTGAAAAGTCTCACACTCTCTGCAAATCAAAAGATCTTTCCTCTTTGCCCTAAATGCCAACAAAACCAGGCATCACCTGAGCACATCTTGAACTGTTTAGGGCTGGACTGGAACGACATTCATTCCTCTCCCATTCTGGTTTCGGATTTTCTCAATATCAACGGATTCATTGATCTGGTCTTACCCCGTCAGACCAGATGGGAATTAGCAACAACAACAACAACAAAACATGTAATTATTAAAACACTCCAGTGCATTTAATAATTTGGTCTAATATTCTAATGCAATACCTGATATAATAAATCTTCTATATTTATGTCATATATCGTCTAATTTATTCATTTGTCTAATTTATATTATATATCGTCTAATTTAACCAATTGATACACGAACGTAAGCAAGTGCAAACCGGTTTCAGTTGCGTAAAAACAATAAAGCTGTATAGTATCACCTGATCATTAAAATTCTGCATAGAATCTTATAGTTAGTCTAATAATTTGTCCAGGGACTGTACGTATCTTTGTAATTTTGAGCCCAATCCAGAAGACAAGGAAACTCCTGGATCAAGTATTGGGAGAAATTCGATTTCGTGGTGGACTTTTTTTTGATGGAACTAAATAGCATTTGCATTACTTGAAGAGGGAAATCTCACGCTGTTATCCTGACGGCAAGAGGACTAACCCTCGTCTACCACTGAGGATATTTTAAGTCAGCACTGTTCTGTGCTGTTTAAGTAAGCACAGAATTCCGCACTGAGCCGGGTGCGGAATTCGCATCGACCAACCAATGTTGGGATTTGAACCTGGTTTACCTCATTGGAAGGCGAACGCTCTATTCTCTGAGCCACCACTTCTCTAAAATATTTCATTATAAGCAGCCAAGTTTCTTGATTTTTTACTAATTTTTTTAATCGTCTAAAGACTAGCCACTGTTACTCAGGCAATAGAGCACTCGCCTCCCAATTATCTGATCAGGACTTGACTGCTTCCAGCTGGCATCTACCACACTGTAGAAGTAAAATATCCTCAGTGATACATGGATTATAAGTTACAATCCACTTGCCGTAAGCCCTTTTCCTCGAGGTTTTCCTTACCATGTAAGTCAAATTTGTATTAGTTTCTATCGAAAAGTCTTCTACTAAGACTAGTCTAATGCATGAATCAGGAGTTCCTTTGTCTTCTGAGTTAGATGCAAAAATACGAGGCTGCGAAGTTGAACATTGGATAGCCGAAAACCCTAGAATAGGTAGACTGTTTAAAGCCGGTTGTTAAATAAAATAAGTTCATCAAAACGCGAAAATGTTTAGTTTCAATTAAATAAAAACTTAAACCAATTTTTAGTACAGCTTGAAGAGGATATAAGAATTTCTAAAAGTATATATAAATTAAGATGAAAATTCCGAAGAAAAAAAATCGCTACCCAAATTAAAATTCTTGATGGTCCCATCAAAACATTTTGATGGACTATGTTGGTTTCAGTCAGTGCTATTCATGATGGTCCGACATCATTTGATAGTCACCATCATCATGCATTTTCCATTACGTGTTCATGGTTTTTGATATGCCAACAAACTTCCATCATTCCATAATAGAAAATGTTACTTTAATACTATGATAGTTAACCATCAAGCGACGTTTGATTCTTACGGACCAACAATCCATGATAATTCATGATGGTTCCAACTGTACATTTCCATGATGGTTTAATAATAATTCTTGTTGGTTCAGCAAGAATATACCATCAAAAAAAAATTTTTCTGTTGGCCCATCAAAAATCAGTCCGAATTCCTACATCGGGGTGATGGTGGCTATCGTTAGAACATTTGATTTCTACGAAACAGATGGAAATTTCTGATGCTTCAACATGAACAAACCATCAAAACAAGTTGCTATTCTTATGTTGGGCCATCATAAATCAATCCGAATTCCAACATTGAGGTAATGGTTACTTATGTTGGTTACCCCCCAAAAGCAGAAAGTGCCTAAAACTGTGACGTACGTCGCAGAACAAACGAAGTCCTTCAGAACAATTTGTATCTTNACAGATGGAAATTTCTGATGCTTCAACATGAACAAACCATCAAAACAAGTTGCTATTCTTATGTTGGGCCATCATAAATCAATCCGAATTCCAACATTGAGGTAATGGTTACTTATGTTGGTTACCATCAAGCCCAAAAGCAGAAAGTGCCTAAAACTGTGTCGTACGTCGCAAAACAAACGAAGTCCTTCAGAACAATTTGTATCTTCAATAAGTGACAGCGTTTTCCTGCGATAATAATTTATTAATAATTCATCGTCATTAACAAAATTTTACACCTCAAAAGTGATTGAAAAAGTAACAATTCAAGAATGTTTGCCTTGGTTTAAAAATAATGTAGAGTATCTGCGTATGGTCCTGTATTTTAATGTAAAGCTGACTTTTTATCGCTGTGAAATGCTTGCAGAACATTTGCATAAATTAATAATTCCTGTTGCAGAACATTTGAAAATATTCTGCTTCTGAGCCATCAAGATTATGTTGGTCCATCAATGGAAAACCATCAAAAAGTTTGACTTGGGTAGCTTTGTTTGCTCTGCAGTAAAAATACATTTGCTGAGAATTTATTTAAAAACACGTAATCGTGTGAGAGAATGGAAAGCTGTAGTTAATTTTCTGTTAACTGAAATAACAATTTTGTTAAGTAAAGACCATAAAACATTTGGATTTTTAATTAAAAATCAAACATTGTCTTTAAATAGAAAACATGAGCGAGTTTGATGAAAAATTATTTTCTATTACCCCTATAATTTAAGTCTGCCTTTTTTTCCATAAAATAAGTATCACCTAGAGGAAAGAAAGAAAAAACGAAAATTTTTTGTTAAAAAAAACTTGTTTATAACAATAAGTTGAACAATATCTCTATGATAGGTTTTGTTTGAAATATAGGCGGTCTGTGCGTAATGCTAGCACAATCATGGCCGTCACGAAACTGTGGAGCACTCATAAACATCCACAATGCTTTTTCAAAACAGATAAAAATTGGTATACAAATTATTAAAAAATATTTTTGTTAATCGGTTCTACATTTCCAAATGGTCTCTTACTCTAATTTACATTCAATCAATCAAAAGAACAAATAATGGTCAACAAAGAANATCCACAATGCTTTTTCAAAACAGAAAAAAATTGGTATACAAATTATTAAAAAATATTTTTGTTAATCGGTTCTACATTTCCAAATGGTCTCTTACTCTAATTTACATTCAACCAATCAAAAGAACAAATAATGTAAAAAAATCTTCTTGCTTTGGTCAACAAAGAAAATGTTTATTTTATTAAATAATTACAACTTTTTCTACCATATAAAACTAATATTAATGAATTAAATTTAATGAATGAATTAATATTTGAAAAAAACTGTATTGACATCAAGTGTCATAGACTACAGGTTTAACAAAAATGTATTTGAACTTGAGTGAATGAATATAAAATATTTAATTACCGATTGAAAATTTGGGATATAGGGAGAGTATGTGAACTAATAGTAGGAATTGAAAAAAGTACCTTTCATCAGTGACGTCAGATAAGTAGCTGTTCGATATAGAAAAGCAGACAAGTATGCCCCCACTCACACCAGATATGGCCGCCACTCCTATATAAACAGTAGGTGGCGCCCCCTGACTGAAGGTCAGAAGCAGCATCACTATACTCTCAGTCAGAAGACCGCTCACTCCTATAATCAGTGGTATTTTCCTGCAATTGTCATTTTTTTTAGTTAGTATCGGTTAAAATTGAGAAAACATATTTTTACGACGAAATTATTTTGACGTAATCCACATCTGCTGAGCCCGACTTCGCCTAATTAATGCCCGTGGCAAAAACTTCTTTGGGGGGCCCCCTCTGCTTCAGTAATGAAGAACCGAACTCCCTCCAACATGCAGTTTTCTGATTGTTAACTTTGCCATCTAGCTGCAAAAAATTCTTATCCTTGCTGACATTATGGCGGAATTCAGCTAAATTTATCCAATTACGACGGCACAATTACTCCAATCAGAAGCCTGCATTTTTGTAAACTTATCCCATTTTGCGATATGTAAAAATACAGGCTTTTGATTGGCCAAATTTGTCCATCGTAATTGCAGAAACCTTCGAAAGCCATGGATTTACGAAACATGGATTGTGTTCATACGATAGATTAATGAAGAAGCTAACATAAAATTGACGGATTTTACACTGTACTGATATTTTGTTTTAAAAAAAGTTCATTAAGGAAGGAAAAAAATAAACCCTCGATTCGAATTGGGGGCTCCTCTAATGTGGGGACTGGAGGCAACTGCGCCGCCTGCGAATCCCCATCCAGTTGGAATCCAGAATAATAAATAGAATGAATTGGATGGCCCACGTGATTCGAATGAGTGATGACAATGCAGTACATAAAAGATATTGCTTTTTAGACCCACTGGAACAAGAAAGCGGGGAAGGCAGCGATTGACATGGGCTGATTCGGTGGAGTCTGATATTCTTGCAATTAATGAGAAGAATCGGAGATCAACGATAAATCGGAAGTCGTTATGGAAAAATCTTCAGAGGAAGTCATTGGCCCACATTGGATTGTCTTTCCAACTATGATGATGATAACTTGCTCATTTACGTGTTTGTTCTATATTGGTGAGATATAAAATTGGGTCCAATCCTCAACGACGGCTGTATATATAAAAAAAAAAATTAAAAAAACAAACAAAACACATAGCTGTTATTTTTACCTAGAATATTTGTCGCTCCATGGGCCAACAAAGACAGCTATGACGCATGATGGCAAACTGGTAGTAAGCATAACCCATGTATATACGTTGTTTCCAATTTCAATGCTTTTCTCTTGTACCTCCTTGTGATGATCTAGTTCGTCACAGATGGTCTCATTGTACATCAACATGTTTCGACATGCCCTGTCCATCAGAAGAGACTGAAGGGGTAACATGGTTGTAAAGAGTCCAAGCGCTGTAAAGAATATGAATGGTTCCACCGTTGTTTCCCTCAATAGGCAAACAATACGATTCGAAAAAGTTTTCGGAGACTTCTCCATTTGCTTGGCATAAATTGATCTGAAAAGATTTAAAAAAAAACTAAATTTTGTAAGTCTTGAAGTATAAGGCAAAAAGGTTAACCAATATAAATAAATCATGAGAAGATAGCTTAGGATTACGCAACGGTAAAGTTCTCTTTTAATAATTTAATTGCATTTTAATATTTTGAAGTATTTTTTTCTTTCTTCAGCAATTGAAACCTCATGACTTACTCTAGGTTTTGCCTGAACTTACTTTTTCTTCCTTTTGAATGAGTAATGAAGTAGAATTTGCGGTGGCAATTTTCTTCTGCGGTATTGCGTACTCTTTAGGACAACGCGAAAGCAAGGTAATCCTTCGTATTTAACTATTGCAGCGTCTTTTTTTATGACATAAATGAACTGAATAGATTATAATATCTATTGACGTCATTATCATCTACATTTTCAATTATCTTGTTCCTTTATAAAAGTAAATAAATATTTAAAATTCCCTTGTAGACCTTTGTCGAAACTATACAATTCTGCGATATTATGTGTGATAAGATTCATTGTGATGGAAATGATTTTTACTAAATAATGTACGCTTTACTCAAGGCTTAAAAGAGAGTTATTATTTTTTTTAAAATCGATCTTTGAGACTGACCACTATTTCGAATGGCCAAATTTGTCCATTGTAATTGCAAAAATTCCACCCTCGAAAGCTATGGATTTACGAAATAGATTAGATTAATAAAGAAGCTAACATAAAACTGACGGATTTTACACTGTACTGATATTTTGTTTAAAAAAAGTTCATTAAAGAAAGAAACGTAAAATAAACTTTCTAACTTTCGATTCGATTTTTGGACCCCCTTTTTATGTGGGGACCAGGGGCAGCTGCTCCAGCCCTAGTCAGGCTCTGATGTTATCCCTCATTGTGTTATATTTGTGTAAAATAGCACCATTAGCTATTTTTGGGGTAGCATAATAGAAAGCTTGCTGAGTCTTCCTGTTTCCTTAATTTTTTTATTTTTATTTCGTTGAAAGTTAGATTGAAAGAAGGTGTTACATTAAAAACACTACAAGTGTAATAATATTGGATGGGCCGTTTTTTCAAGCTTGGGCGTAAAAATCAGTCGGAAGTAGAAACCTGGAAGTCTTACGACGAATTTTAACGCCATCTACGTGTTTTTAAGAATTTAAATCTGAAAATTCATCTCATGTATGACCTAGACTAATATTGCTGCCATGTTTAGTAGGTAAGTTTAAAGATCTGCGCAATGATTTGTAGGACACAAAATTCTACAAAATGTAAAGACCAGGGTGCGTAGCCAGATTTTTCAACAGAAAATAAGCACCTTTTAAACACTCAAGAAATATTTTCAATCACTACCCCCTCCCCCCCCCCAAAAAAAAAGTCCTAATCAGGATCTGTGCAATAATAATAAAAAAAATTTCCTATTGTTTAAAGTTCTTAGTTTATAAATAGAAAATCAATAAAATTCAAAAACATTTTCAAATACTTTACATAATCATGATAAAATAACTAGATGCTGATAAATGTTGCAGAGAAAATTGGGAAAATCATTCATTTTTTGTAATGCAATTTTGTAACAACAATCACACGGCAAAGAAAAAATATCTTTTTAAAAGATAGAAAATTAAGAACTTTTTAGAAATCCCGAATAAAAAAAGCACCTTTAAAGGCTTTTTAAAAAACATAAATCAAAAATGAACACTTTAAAGCACTTCATAAAAAGCTACGCCCCTTGAAAAACACATATTTTTAAAGTGTGCTTAATGAAGGATTTTTTTCTTTCTTTTTCTGCAAATTGTTCGAATAAACTTTGATAACAGTTATTATTAAACCTGTTAAGTAGTATTTTAGAATTTTTGTGAATGTTCAATTTAAAGTATTATTCATAGGATTTACTGGATGGTCAATAGTATTCAGAATTTTTGTTTTATTCTCAACTACGCTCTTCATTTCATTTAAATTTTTTTCCAATTATTCAGATAGGAATTTTGACTGATAATTCATAGTTACTCTTAGCTTTCGACCCAAATATTTAAGTTCTTCTTCGTTTTCATGAGTCTAAAATGACCCATTCTCTAACCAGGAAAATTTCAGTAAAAAAAATGCGTCAAAATCACGTTTACAGCAAATTTGTCAAAAAGTTGGTTTATGACGTCATTCTAATAAAATTTATCACACAAGAGTTTTAGAAAAGTTATTTTGATTATCGAAATGCGGGTTTAAGCAATAGAAAGAAGTATTAGTCAAGCATTTATTTTACTGAAACTACAGTCTCAAGCTAAATTATTAGACGCACTGTAAGATTCTACGTTGTTCATTTCCGTCGCACTAGAGCTGCACAATGGGCTATTGGCGACGGTCTGGGAAACATCCCTGAGGATGATCCGAAGACATGCCACCAGAATTTTGATCCTCTGCAGAGGGGATGACACCCCCGCTTCGGTAGCCCGACGACCTGCACGCGAAGTCGAGCACTTTACGGTAGAACAGTTTAACGAGGGCCAATACCGCACACCCTCGGCCCCTACGCAGGCAGATCCAAGTGGTCACCCACCCGCACACTGACCGCAGCCAGTGATGCTTGACTTCGGTGATCTTCTGGGAACCGTGTCTTAACTGCGGGACCAGTAAGATTCTACGTAAAATCTTAATCATCAGGCGATATACCCTACAGCTTTATTGTTTTTTACGCGGCTGAAACCGTTTTACACTTGTTTATGTTAGTGTAACAATTGAGTTAACATTGTAATACACTACGTTGAAAATAAACACTAACAGAAAGTATGTCAAAAATCTCCTGAATAAAAACCCATTACATGTATATTTAAATATAGAAGTATTACCTATGAACTCGAGTAAAATATGTCATTATTAAAACACTACAGTGCGTTCAATGATTTGGTCTCAATTATTATAATATACTTATATAATAAATATTCTATATTCATAGAATATATCGTCTAATGTATCCAATGGTCGAATTTATATTATATATCGTCTAATTCAACCCATTGAAACACGAACGTAAACAAGTGCAAAAAGTCGTGTTAAAACAATAAAGCTGTTTAGTATCACTTGAATATTAGATTTTACATGGAATCTTATAGTGCAGGGATGGCGAACCAATGGCACGCGTGCCATTTATCGCACCCAACACAATATTTTGGGCACGCCACCGATCACATTTGTTATTACACTATGAATTGTTATTACTCAAATGCTATTACACTATGAAGCATATGTAACAATTAAATTAAAATTCACAAAAAACAAACAAAATAATAAACAATAAATAAAAAAATTAACAATTAATGCTAAAAGAACAATTAATAACCATAAAAAACAAGCTAACAATAAATAACTAGCAAAAAAATCAACAGTCCTGCTTAAACTAATATCTTACAACCTAATATAGTCCCGCAGTGGACTGATCGTTAAGACACGGTTCCCAGCAGATCACCGAAGTCAAGCATCACTGGCTGCGGTCAGTGTGCGGGTGGGTGACCACTTGGATCAGCCTGCGTAGGGGCCGAGGGTGTGCGGTATTGGTCCTCGTTAAACTGT